GTCGTGCAATGTCATGCAATGTCGTGAAATAATCATTCCAGCAAGTTCATCAACTTGTCGTGAGTGCGTACCTGGTCTTACCTCAGTTCCAAGTGTGATCCAAGTCGATAGTATCCAGATTAGGAAAGAGAGGGGGAAGGCAAGACAGAGGGAGGGAGAAGAGTGTCACAGCCCCTCGCAGATGGGCAAACCTCCATCAGCGAGCAGAATCAGCAGCAGCGTCCCACCAGGTAAGACCAGGTACACACTCATGACCTCACACTCCACCCACACTCTCTCTCCCTCGCCTCACTATCTCGCTGCCGACTGTCCTTGCAGCAATGGCTGCCTCTCTCTCCTATACTCTACTATCTGGCTGGCGCACACGAAACAGCATGGCACCAGCATCCCCTCCTCAAGTCTCACGTGCAGCGTCGAAGCCGCAAGCAACTCCCAAGACTGAATGACCAAGCAGTGGCAAGGTCAACTCGATATAGTGTTGACTTGCCTGTTCAGGGTCAGCGTCGGTCCAATGGCATGTGAGGGCCCGGATCATCCGATCTGTTCCGGTTTCGGTCTGGACTCCTTGAGGCCTGAATTTTCCGGAACCTGCAGACCACTGTTAGATCATTCCAGATCGACGGCCAGGAAATCTTGCGTGTGTTGGCTTTGACTTCTCGGATCTGGGCCCGGGTCCACGAGCTGACTGTTGACTTTTCGGTCAACTGTCGGCCTGGGCCATTTCCAAGGCCTGTTTGACCCCTCTTTTTCCAGGCCTGGCCTGCGCGTTCGTGCTTGTCTGCGGGCGCGACGAGAGCCCAGCGGCTCAATTTAGCACACGAGTTACAGCAGCAAATGTCACACTGTAGAACGAGCTCTACTCTACGGTGTCAGTTGGACTTGGCCCCAGGGCTCTCAACCATAATGGAAGAAGCACTGGAGTGCGTATTCGATGTATCCAATCGATTGACTTGCCAGTGGAGTAGGAACTGGACTTTTTTTTTCTGTTTTTTTTTTTTTTTCTTTTTTTTTAAGAAAAGGGATAATAATTCTTTTAAGCCCAACCACTTTAATGACCTGTCAAATCTGGACCGGACGGCCTTCCAGGCCTTTTTTATTATCACTGATTCACATGGTAACCGCGGACCCGGACACCGGACACTTCCGGACTGTCTTCCGAACCAGTGTCTGGACCGGTCCGGACTGTCCGGTGATCCGGACATCACCGGAC